GCGTGGGGAGGATTATATAGGAAGAGGCGGTCTCTGAGATAGCTTGGATTGAACCTGAATTCTTGAACCTGAATTCTTGCCTTTCCATCCTTTTTTGACATGTGTACATTTTCGTAGTCCCACCCACACCTGGTCATCTCCCCCATATATTACACAGCCACCATTACTGTAGTTCCCTCCTCATCCATCCAGCCTTTAGGGTGAATACAAACAAGCAGTTATGCCTGACAGAATTTTGTAATTTCTTTGGCAGCCTTTTTCTTTGCTGCGTTCTTTACATACTTTGTTATACGTCCCCAACGTTTACCTCTAACTTATCTATGGGACATATCAAAATCCATAATTTTGGCCCCCAAACCTCCCCTCAACTTATACATGAGGTTGATTTATATGTAAGTATATATAGTAAGCTGATTAAAGACAGAAATACAGTAAAAGAACAAAAACAGAGTCATAAGAATAAGACAACAATAAGTAGAAATAGCACCAATGAATTTAAAAAACTTTTCTACAGCAACCTAGTTTAATGCCAAAGCCCTAAATGAATAAAATATCTTTGCTTTACATTGTGACAAGTACCTTTTATACAGTCAAGAATGAGTATATGGAGAGTAGGGAGTGAATGGTAAAGGCTAACTTTCAGCAGCAAAAGGAGGGAAATTACAAAATTATACAGCTGTGATTCCATTTTAGTTGCTTTAGCTGCATTCTATGGAATCCTAGAATCCTAATTAGGTGAGGAGTATTCATATTCTCAACCAGAAAGCCATGATACCCCCAACAAATACAAATTCCAGAATTCCATAAGATTTAGCAATGACAGCTAAAGTGTAAGCATAGTGCTATAACTGTATAGTGCAACACTAAAGACTTAAAGTTCAGACCTAGTATATTCATCCAGGAGAGAAGGGGCTAAATGGACAGGAAGGATACCACAGGCTAACCCCGTGGTATCCTGTCTGTGATTCTGCCTGGGTTTCTTACCCGGGTTAGTCTCCAGGTGCAGCAATGGATGAGTGTTCACATGCTCAGCCACCACTGCCCACCCCTTACCTGCTACGGCTGCCGCATCCTCTCTGAAGGCCCTCACCATGGTCCATAAGGGAGGAAACGGGGTGTCTAGCTATATCCACATAGCTAGGTACCCCCTTCCAATGACCCAGGCTGAGGTGAGGGCCTTCAGAGAGGATGCGATTGTTTGCTTTTTATTGTATATGTTCTGATGTACCACCCCTTGGTGGAAAGAGTGTTATAAATAAACGATGATACTGATGATGCTGATGATTGTAGCAGGTATGTGGCACATGGGTCTATGCAATCTGCCAGCAGTTGCAGCAGAGCTTCAGAGAAATTCTGCTGCAAACAACTAGGGTTTTTGAACCAGGTTAAGGGGCTTTGGGGCTAGGGGCAGATACATATATGGGCTGTCTGATCCCAGACCAGAGTTAATGGCCTGTATTGTCCAGACAGGACATGGGTCTTTTGGCTCCCGAGTATTATTGGTGTTTGCAAAGGAAGCAAATGGATTTGTAAAATCTAACAAATGCTTAAGTACATAGAAAGCTTAAATATCTGAAATTGACTGGCCCCTGCCCTGCCCTGCTGCCACCGCCGCCTTTTGTGGCCGCGGGGGTCCTCCAAGGTGCCATTTTGGATTCCTAAATGGTGCCACTGAGGACCCCCGCGGCTGCGCCGGGCCTCTCTGAGGCCCGGCGCAGTCAAGGGAGCCCTTCCTAGGGGACCCCCGCAGCCGCACTGGGAGGAAGATGGGATATAAATCCACATAAATAAATAGCCTCTAGAGGCTGAAACACACTGCAGAAATAATCCAGTTTGAGACCATTTTAACTATCCTAGCTCAGTGCTAGGGTATCCTGGAATTGTAGTTTGTTGTGACACCAAAGCTCTATGACAGAGAAGGCTAAATGCCTCACAAAACTACAGAATTCCCTTGCATTGAACCAGGGCGGTTAAAGCAGACTCGAAATGGTTATTTCTGCATGGTGTTTTGGCCCTAGGTCTCAGATTTTGCCCTTCAAATCTGTGTGCCTGGAACAGTCTTGACTTGGTAAACCTATTTCCAACTGATCTTGAAAGTGACATATTAAGTATTACTGGGATGGCAAATATAAAATGTGAGGGAGGGGTCTTAACAGAACTATTAGTAATGAGAACTCAAAATACAAATGTTTCTCATATATTCCTATCTTTTGACATGGGCAGAACTATGGACTTATCACACATTAGACACATTTGCTATCTGGAAAAATGATGGAACACAGAACATGACCATAACTGCCTTAGTACACAACTGATTTATCCAAGAGAATAAACTACCTGCTTCCACATGCTACAGAAGACAATTAGATAGTTTCTACAGAAACTGAATTAAAAAAACCAACCATCTCAACAATAACTTTTTATATATTTCAGATTTCACTGCTGCTAACAGCAACTCATCTGCTCATCCTACAAATAAAGCAATGCAATTCCACCTTGTTACTTAGCAACCACAATATGTCATTGCTACACTGAAAAATAAACTTGGTTTTATGTCAAGAGAACATTCATAAAGAACACCAAATAATCCATTAAAATGTGCAGGCTTGTTTTTTAAATGAAAATATGTCTGACAAATATTTTTAATATAGCCTGTGCATAATAACTGCATATTTCTGGGGCCTTTATAACTTGGACTAGCAAGCCAGACAGCAAACCTACCTTTGGATAAACATGTTTCTTCTTCCAAGAAGGGAGGGTTACAAAATGTTTTGAGGCCTAATACTAGTGTCCCAATACTGCATTCAGAATAATTTTAAGATCAATTGGTGACAACCCTTTCTTTTCTGCCTTTTTCTTAGCAAAAGAAGAGTGTTGTATCAAACGAATCTGCAGGTATTTAAAAAATAAGGAATGAGGTGAATTTACCAGCAGAATTTTATCATCAGCCATTATGTCAGAAACATTCCAGAAACAACACATTAAAATGCTTTAGAAATTGTGATATGCTAGCATATAAAAGTTTATTCTGGAGAAATACAAAGGCATTTGGAAAACAAAAACCCATTGTCATTTACTATCTCTTACTACTCACCAGCTCACTGCCCAGAACACTGGTTGCTACAAGGGATATCCTTAGTTAATAGTAATAGTATGAAGACTATCTGGAGAGTCAGCATGGTGTAGTGGTTTGGGCACTGGACTACAACTCCAGAGCCTGGAGTTTGATTCCCCACCTGGCCATGAAAACCCACTGGGTGGCCTTGGTGGATTACACACTCTCAGCCCCAGAAAGCCCCATGATATGGTTGGCTTAGGGTCAGCATAAGTTGGAAATTACTTGAAGGCACACAACAGCATGACAACTACTTAGATAGTGTCACAGAATGCGCACCAAATACACTTAGTGTTTCTATGTGTCATAACTAATCTGTCAATTTTATGACTTTATTCAACACTGTTCAGAAAATATGCACAATGTATTCTGATCTCCAGCTCTCCTAATCTTAGGGAAATCTTAGGGAAATAAAAGTAGCTTCATGGACTGTCAAAGGGGAAACCAGGCCTTTTTTGAGCAACACTTCAAATGTGTATCTCAGGCCCATCTATATTGAGGCTGTCATACTTTGGCCAAATCATGAGAAGGCATGAATCATTGGAAAATGATTCTGTACCATACAAAGATATAGCTGTGTTAGTCTCTAGAATCAGTATGTAGAGATCATGTTGCACCTCTGAGACTAACTCAAATTAGCCAATTTCTTTCTTTCAGTTAGTCTCAAATGTGCTACAAGAAGATCTCTGTACCATATAGACACAAAACAAAACAAAACAAAAAAGTCTGAGTCATATACTTCCAGTAATTCTAACCATAAATGCTCCAAAGTGTTCCTATGATGCTGCTGCTGTGGTGGACAAAAAGGAACTAAAGCTTGAGGAAAGGCTGCATCTGTTAGGCATGTGGGGACTAGGCAGGGTTTCTGCCAAAAAGCTTATGTAATAGCTCTAGAAGATTCCAAAAGATACACTGCACAGGCAAAGATAACCTATTTCTGTGTGTCTTACAGACCATGAAGAAGAAACAAGACCTTTTTTGAGCAACAAGTCAAACACATATCTCAGTCTCAGTTCATCAGTATGAAGCAAGAGAAAATATGCAACAGACATTATAGAGTTTCACATGTTCTTCCCCTCCCTCTGTATTTCTTTTTGTCATCTATGGTTTTACATGGACACAATATAAGATGCATGCTGTTTGTTGTTGTTAACTGCCTTCAAATCAATTTATGGGGACCCTGTGGATGAGACACCTCCAACCACCCTCACCCCCTGTTCTCCACTGCTATGCTCAAGACCTATAGATTCCTGCCCGTGTTATAATCTATAAAGCATGCACTGATTATCTTTTGAAATTCCTTGGTGTGCTCCATTAACTATATGTTTGCAATGTGGTCCCTAGTGCCTCTACCTTTCCTGAACCCTGCTTGCACCTCTGGGATTTCTCTCTCCATATGGAATACATTGATTTGTGTGGCAAATATAGTGTACATGAAAGCACTCCTACATCTTCCCTCCTGCAAATACAATGCAAGCAAATAAAAGCAAAAAAATACTCAAGACTAGAATAAAAACAAGTGTTTTAGTTCTACAGTAACTCACCTATAATGATCTTGACTTCCAGTGGACTTGTAGCTCTTATTGAAACAGATACATGAACCACAGCTAGGGGTTTGCATAAACAACAGCCCATTATAATTTGGCTAATTCCTATGAATATATTCCATTTATGCCTCTAGTTTTTTGCGGTCTAAAAAGAAAAATGATCCTGCTTGCCAAGATAACTCAGGCCACATCTGCATTTCAGAAATAATGCAGTTTGACACAGCTTTAACTGTCATGTCTCCATACTATGAAATCAGGAGATTTGTAGTATGTTGTGGCACTAGGGCTCTCTGACAGAGAAGGCTAAATATCTCATAAAACTACAAATCCCAGAATCCCTTAGCATTGAGCCATGGCAGTTAAAGCATTGTCAAACAGCATTACTTCTGCAGTTAAAATGCACTGCATAAAAGTATAAAGCATACTTTTTGTGGCTTTGGTTTGATTTACATGATTACAGTGACACAAGGTATGAATGGAATACACCCAGACTGAGGTTTATTCTTATGTAAATCATACTGAGGACCACCCTGGGCTGAAAACCTATCTATCTATCTATCTATCTATCTATCTATCTATCTATCTATCTATCTGTTTCAGCCTAGGGTGATCCCCAGTATGATTCACATAAGAATACAGTAATTAAAATAACACCCTAAGAAAACAATGCAGTTATGAGTAAATATCATTGATTCATTCATTCATTTTATACCTTGCCTGTCTCCCAATATGAGACCCAAGGTGGCTCACAGCATTGGTTAAAACAAAGTACAGCTAAAACACAGTGATTATAATTGAAAAGTTAAAAAATAAACAAACTTGACTGTTAAAAACAGCACTAATTGAAAAGAGAATAAAAGTACAACATATACCTCCAGTTAAAAGACTCTTCTGCAACAATCAATTAATTGTCAAAAGCCAGTCTAAAGATCTGAACAAAAGAAATAGGGCCAGCCTAGGCTTGCATTGGTGTCTATTATGGTACTACATCCTGTAGAAGTAAAAGCCCACCAGCAGGAAGGAGTTTTCACAGCCTGGAAGCAGCCTCTGAGAAGGCTTCTTCATGACCATTCCTGATGTGTTTGTGTCGGTGGTGGGAGAAACCTCTCCCACCCCACGAATCTTAAAACATGGGCAGGCTCATTCATGTTCTCAGTAACTGTCTAAAATAAAGCTAGAACATCAGTTCCAAGATATCAGATGGAACAAGGTTTTAATAAGGAAACTTACAGTATGTGTATGTGTAGGAAGTAAATTGTAGCTCAGATACTTTTGTTTTGTCTACAACTGTCATCAGACCTAACCAGCTTAGTCAATGGTGAAGGATTGTGGGAGTTAGCAGTCCAAAAAATTGGAAGACCAGAGTTGCCAATCCACTGTAAAGTAAATGACATCACTCATCTGGTATAGTGATGCAGTATTTTATGTACTTACTTCACTACCTCCCAATATAATCTGCCCAGGTGAGTAGAAGCTCTACTTTCTTTACACATTCTGCTACCTGATCTTGATGAGTTTCCAAACAAGAAATCTCATTCCACAGTGCAATTCCATTCTTTTATTCATACATATTTATAGGAGGTTCAGACAACGCTACTTGCAGCTTTCTGAGTTTTAATGTTCTTAGTTTTTTCCATCTTCTTTTACCAGAGAAAATCCTTTAAGGGGGAAAGATGGAATACCTGCACAATGACTTTTCATTGTGAGCAGCACAAGCCTTCTGTTTATAAGTTACCCTGACGTAGAGAAATGATTGCCTTGGGAACACTCACAGCCCTTTTTGAGGCAATAATAGCAAATCAGCATGCTGAGGGTGAGAACTTGTTATGTCACTGCTTCCCCAGCCCTTGGACAATAATCCCAAGAGCTGTTACTACCATCAGCCAAATGAGGCTACTCAAAACTCGGTTGAAATTTATTTTAGGTCCTTTTAAACACAGAATCAAACACAGAATCATAAACTTTCTTCTTCTCCGCATAGTGCCAGCCAGTTGAGTTTGCTCCAGATTATCTGATCAATCCCTTAATCTTCATGGATCTAGGGAGTGTGTGGGATGAGTATTTTGTTGTCCTTGTAGTTTACAGAAACAGTAAAATCATACTACAGCCAGCCCTCCATATCCATGGATTCTGCATCCATGGATTCAACTATCTACAGCTTGAAAATACTCCAAAACCCAAAAACAAACCTTGATTTTGCCATCTTATATAAGGGACACCATTTTACTACCCACTGTATATAATGGGACTTGAGCATTTTGATATTCACAGGGATCCAGGAACCAAACCTCAGAGGATACCAAGGGCCCACTGTATATAATCTTAGCCTATCTTTGCATCTTTATATTAAGCAGATTATATCTGCAGCTGCACTACTCCCAAGAGATCTTGTAACCCCTGTAAGAGCTATGCTTCATATTCCTTGGAACCACTCATTCAACATCATAACTTGTTTTCTACTGCTTTGCAATTTCAATCACTGCCATCATTAATAAGTGTGTGATTATCTCTTTATTCATTAAGGCATCATTCACAACTCAAAGATACTAAATAAAGTCAGCTGCTAGTAATTTGTTGCCCACTGATAAAGCTGACTAAACTCTTTCCTTAAAAACCTACCATATGTACTCCCACCACAAACGGATAAACATGGCAATGAATTATGTTGCTAATGAACCCATTACATGTTTACTTGTTTTAAATAGGACACTCTTCAATAGTAGACCACCACAATTATGAACAGACAAGCACAATCTTATTATTCTACTTTAATATCTACAGCTTTGAAGAATGAAAATTAATTCATGATCCAAACATCATATGTCTGTGTGTATGTGCCTCCAAGTTGCCTGTAGACTTATGGCAACCCCAAGAATTTCATAGGGTTTTCTTAGGCAAGAAATATTTAATGGTGGTTTCGCCAGTTGCTTCCTATGAAGTATAGCCTAGAGCACCTATTATTCGTTGGTGGAATATATGAAAAAATCAAGAACAAGTAGCAAAAAAGTAGCAGAAGGAGAAGGGGGAAGAGAATTCAAATAGCAGGTGGCATTTTGACATCACAGACTATAAAAATTAAGATTCTACACTCTTTCAGCTAAAGGATGACTGTTGTAATTGCTGGGCAGGATGCTGATGAGTATAGGAGTCATATTTTGACCATTCTCAAAGTTGGTATAAGAAATACCTGTTGTTGTGAGCCTTCAAGACATTTTTGACTTATAGCAACCCTATCACCATGTTTTCTTGGCAAGATTTGTTCAGAGGTTTGCATCTGCCTTCCTCTGAGGCTGAAAATGTGTGACTAAGGTCACTCAGTAGGTTTCCATGGCTGAGTGGGGATTTGAACCCTGGTCTCCAGAGTCACAGTCCAATGCTCAAAGCAATACACCATGATGGTGCTCAAGAAACACCTACGTCAATTAAAATTTTACTTTTTTTCTTTTAAAAATTGCAGATGTGTGTTGCATTGACAACAAATACAAAAATAAAACAGTAAATAATAAAATATCCTTTTAAATTTCCTTGAGCAATATTTTAGTGGCAGAATATGTCAGTGGGAGTTAATAACATATGGGCCT